TGACGTCGCGGCGGCCCGACGAGGGGCCATGGCGCACACGGTGCCCATGCGCGAGCCCACCGGCGTGCATGCCGGCGCCCAAAGACATGGCTGGTGGCAGCCCTTGGCTGCTGCTACATTTTTTTTGATCTGCCCAGAACTGAGGCTTGAAACAGAGGTCAAGACAAGTTTTTCTTGAAAAACACGAAAAAGAAATCCTCCCTAAAATAGAGTTTTCTACCCGACTTCGTGGACGGAATCGAAAAAAACTCACTGTGAAATCCCCAAAATGCCCCTAGATCAGAACTGAACAAGAGGGTCATGAAGCTGCTAAATCAAAACTAGAAGCTGAAACTTCACGAGGGATTTCCGGTACCAAGATGACATTTACTGGAAAAACACGAAAAAGAAACCCCCCCTAAAATCACGTTTTCTAAGCGACCATGTCAAAAGAAGAAAATAAAACTGAGGTGAAAGGTCCATAATGCCCCTAGATCTGAATATGCAAAAAAAATGCGAAATGAATTCACAAGAGGCTCAAAACACAAATGATGAGGTTTTGCCCGGAAACGACTATGCACGCAAACGTAACTTACCTATTTAGACGCACTACAATGGTCCATGGCTTAAAAATATAGCCGATGCAAAATCTGACCCCCCAATGGGCAAAAAGGCAAAAATGGACTTGGAATGGAAAACATGGAATCCAAAAATGCAAAACGGGATCAAATGACCGTTTGGCCCTTGGCCACACTTCATACAAGATTAATAAGACCCTATAAAGGAATGAAAATGGAATTCCCACACCCGATGCAATCGTGGTGAAGCAATGACTTGCGATTTTTCAAGTTTTTCATAACATTTCATGAAGTTAAAAAGTTGCATAGAATACAATATACATGTCATTGGCCTCCGGCCTCATCTCATACATATCAAATACATTAAAAGGAGTGTACTTAAGTACACATTACATACATGGAATCAAATACACATATTTTGACATATAAGTCTACAAAATGACATTTCATGCTAACATTTGCATGAAATGGAAACTTGAAAGCTACACGACATCCAAGGAATGCTAGGCTTCACGAACCAAGTCTTCGTACCTGAAATATGCCCCAGTATCGTAGGGGTGAGTAACATAAAGCTACTCGTAGGAGATGAGCATGCATCGACCTAGCATTTTACAAATTTATCACCTTAGGGTGAAACATGTTAAAGGGGCTCATGCCACCTAACGTCTATGTCCAAGTGAGACTCGGGGAGCATCCTAAGCTACCTTAGAGTCTAAGCAACAAGAATCATGATATACATACGTGTATGAAACGAATCATGGTTGGGATAATCCAAAGAACACAACAAGAAGAATGCTTGAGCATAGATTAACATGAACTGCATTTTCAATACAATTGAACTAGGTCTAGAGTAATCCATACAACATGACAAAACCATATTTGAATACAAGTTAACAAGAATCACATTATCCATGCAATTCAACAACAAAAGAGCATATTATACAATACAACAAGGTTTAAGTTCTCAAAGCCATCAACTTAGAATCTAAAGCACAAAATAACAGTAGTGGTTCATGCCACCTAACGTTTATGTTATAAAAGAATCAATAGGATCAATCCTAAGCTTTATTAGAACGTCAAAACACGATTTTCAATATCGATGCAATTTAACCAACATTGGAACTTCCAATACAACGCATAAAGCACAATTTTGCAAAGTTAACATCCTGTAACTTAAAATGGAATGACAAATAAGAAACAACAAGTTACAACATCATCTAGTTATCAACTTGAAAATGAAATGCGAAATCAAACAAAGTGGATACTCGGACGTCACGCCGGATCAGACTGACAACATAGTTACTTTAGGGTTACTAGCCCATGGGTAACCTCCCTATGTGCGCATTAGACCATATAGAGGGACTATCCCCCGTACTAGAACCACGTCCTAGCTATAGTCAAACAATGACATCCCCAAGTTTCCAAAATCAACAAGTTGTGCAACAACGCATATATCAACAGGAATATGCAAGATAATCAACTATCTACTAAGCACAACCAAATTTGGAAACCTATACAATATATGCTCTAAATCTACAGCTAATATGATATGATGAATGTCGAATCTTCAGTGTGCGATTCGTTACACGCTATGCATGAAAGATGTTAAACGCGAAGTGTGCAAATCATTACACAAGGCAACAATATATTCAATAAGAAAAACATATTCTCATGAATACAAACATAGCAACTTGTTATCCAATGTTCAAAACATAACCAAATGAATATACAACAAGTCTAAGTCCATGATTTGAATATAGAAACCACTTCTAAAACACAACTAGATCATGGAGCAAATTGATAGAATTTAAATAGATAAACACAATTAAATTCTCTAGAGTCCGATTCAATTCCAAGTAACCTCAATTTAGTACATGTTAAAGGACATGGCATGGTCATCACCTATATCCATTCTAAAACTCAATTAGGTTGTTGGAACAACAAAGTAGAACTTTAATTAAATCATGCTAATTTAATTACCAAAGTTCTAAAACAACTTCTAATAGTCCCAAATTAATATATGCTAGTAACAAGTCATGATTAATACAATTATCAAGTTAAAAACTTAATTAAGCTAAGGGGACCATTAAATAGATTTTAATTAATTCTTTTAATTAAAATTCCTAGATTTTTAAACTTAACCAAATGCTCTCAATTTAACATATCTTAGAGAACATGCCAAGAACTAGTGAAATATCACATTACAAGTTTATTTCATTCAATTTAAGACCATGTGACTTAACCTTTCACTAAAGTTAAATATAAATTAAAAGTTGCAATTCTCATGCAATTAATCCCAATTTAATATATGTGAACAATTATACCTAAACTTAATTTTCTAGCATGTCACAATACAATCCCAAGTTGTATATCACCATGAGGATTAAATCTTAAACATGAAATTTAATCAAATAAAAGGTTTCAAAACTTAACCGAATATTCTAAATCAAATATATGTGAAACTATATAGCATGTAAATCAAGAATATCAAGTTGGAATTCAAATAGAGTGAATAGTGCACTCGGGGCAAATTAATTAATCAAATTAATTAATAATTACTAATTTTCAAAACACCTCCAATTACTTTCAAATTCAACTATGTTGAAGAGCATGCTAAGGCCTAATATAATATGCTAACACATATTAATTTCAAGTTAGTTAAGGCCATGTGAATTAATCTTTCACCTAAGATAAATATTAAATAAAATCTTTAATACTTATTCAAATGTTCCAATTTTAATACACGACAATGAGCATATCAAGGGGCAATATAAAATCATGCTACATGTTTAAACCAAGTCATGAGCAACCGGAAAAATTAGATCCCGTACAAGAAAAATAAATAATAAAATCTCTAGATTTTATATTTAATCATGCAAACAAGTAGTATAAGCATCACAAGCATGCTATATAACAAGAATTTAAACCTAGAACATCTCCTACCTCAATTTGAGATGAAAATCTCAAAAGCCATCAAAATGGAACGGCTCCGAATCCGACGAAACTACTAGGTTTTGTTGGGGACAACGCCGTGAACATAACCCCCATGAAAGCCCCATCAACATCATAACTTGACCTCAAAACCAAACTCAAGAAATGGTCAAAACTGAATTCTAATAAGGGGGAAAGGTAGAGCACGGCGAGGGGAACAACAAACGTTAAGGCCGAAGACTTTCAATCAAGGAAAAGTGAACCAAAAGAGGAGAGAGAAGATGGCAGCACCCCTTGGGCTGCCATGGGAGCTCCAGGTTGTGCATGAAGAGGGGAGAAGATGAAAAATGAAATATCTCACCCCCCTTTTATAGAAATCTCAAAAAGTGCCCCGACGGGCCCTGCCGGGTCCGAAAAAGTAAAATTTGAGTAGACACGCTCAAATGGCAAAACTTTGTGAACAAAAAAGATTCAAAATGATAAAATATGAACAACGAAGAAACGGCGTCAAAAACCGAGTCCCGAGCAGAAAGTTATGCCCAAAACAAGTTTGGTAAAAACTGGGGCCAGAAACCCTGAAACTGGAAAACATCGACCAGGAGGAAATTCCAAGAGTACACAACTCAACGAAATGTGAAAATGAATCCTGTACGAGGATCCAGGCTCAAAACAAGACATTTTGCAATAACTTTCATTAATTGCACAATGGCCCCTCCAAAAAGTGAAAACTGCACTTATGGCCCAGAATGAAAATATCTTCCAAAAATATTTTCTTAAAAACCCCTGAAATAAAATATCTTCAAAAGATATTTACGAAAAATACCCCAAGAAAAGAAAATAATTTCAAAGAACTTTGCATCCATGCCCCTATGGACACCGGGAGCAACCAGAGTACTTTCTTACAAAAGTAAAGATACGTATTTCGTGGAAACCACTCAAGATGAAGGCACGTGAAGTCAAAAACCAACTCCGAGCATGAGAAGTGAGGTTGTGCCAAAAATTGACAAACGGAGATAAGACGAAATAGGGAAACTGACAGAATAGGGAAAAGACGAAATAGCGCATAGTGTCCAAAAACGAAAAATGCGAAAATGACTCGGTCCTCAAAGGAAGTTGTCAATCCACGGAAAAGAGTCTCAGGAACCAGTTCTAAGCACTTGAGATGACACTAAGTGACACGAAACAGAGCTCAGAAAAGAAAATTAAACGAAAAAAATTCATTCGTAAAATTTCAAGAAAAAGAAAAGGGAGGCAAATGACCGGGTCGTTACAATTTTATTGCTTTATTTTGCATATTCAATTAAATATAGAGTTGCATATTTAATTAATGATTTCTTAGCATATTGTTAATTATCTCATGATATATTAGTATAAGGTTTGTTATATCTTAAATGTCACCTGAAGTATATATTTACCAACAAAATTTTATCCAAGCAATCGTTGTTATCTCTTGTTTGCATTTTCATTAACTCCTTGATTCGTTTCAATTGACGAGAAGTTTGCAATTTGTAGGTATGAGTCACCTTTTATCCAAAAAATTGTTGAAGATATTGGAAACAAATTGAATCGCACAGTATTGAGTGTTTGTTCATACCCAGTTGGATTAGATTTTCGTATAAAAGACATTAATTTGTGGTTACAAGATGGATCAAAAGAAGTCGGGATAGTGGCAATTTGTGGGATGCATGGAATATGGAAGACAACCATTGCAAAAACTGTGTATAATCTGAACTTTGATAGATTTGAAGGTAGCAGTTCTTGCAAATGTAAGAGGAACATCAAAGGAACCCAGTGGTCTTGTCCGCTTACAAAGACAACTTCTTTTAGATATTTTAAAGGGCAAGAAAGTAAAAATTAGCAATGTTGATGAAAGAATCATAAATGGTAAGAGAAGCTATTTGCTGCAAAAGAATTTTACTTGTTCTTGATGATGTGGATGACTGAGACCAACTAAATGCAGTACTCATAATGAGGAGTTGGTTTCTATAAGAAAGTAAAATTATCATAACTACAAATGAACAATTGCTGAAGGCACATGAACTGCACAAGTGGCATGGAGTTAAGGGTTTAACTGAGGATGAATCATTTCAACTCTTCAGTTGGCATGCCTTTGGGCAAGATCACCCCATTGAGGGATATATGGAGCACACAAGAAGGCTTGTACAGTATTGCGGAGGGCATCCTTCAGCTCTTCAAATTTTGGGTTCTTCTCTATCTAGGAGAAGCATAGATGTCTGGGAAAGTGCAAAAAGGAAAATGGAAGCAATTCCTGATAGTCTGATCCACAAAAAGCTCAAAATAAGCTTTGATTCTTTACAAGATGACCATGATAAAAATTTATTTCTTGACATTTCTTGTTTCTTTGTTGGAAAGGACATAGATTTCATAATTACAATACTAGATGAATGTGGTTTTTACACAAGGGCTGGGATTCAGAATCTCATCGATAGATGCCTCTTAACAATCGATGAAAATAACAAGTTAATACTGCATCAATTGGTTCAAGAGATGGGAAGAGAGATTGTACGGCAGGAATCACCCGAAGAACCTGGGAAGCGCAGCAGAGTGTGGCATCACAAGGATGCTTTCAATGTATTAACAGAAAAATCTGTAAGAAACACACCTCTAATGTCTGTTTTTATTTTTTTCCTGTTATGTTACTTATCAACCTCGCTTATTAGGGCATGGAAACAATTGAAGGCCTCATGCTGAATTTGCATGTGTCTGAGCAAGATCGGCTTGCCAAGAATTTCTTCGGTTTAGGTAATTCAAAAAGGCATCGCCCTGAAGATTTTCTTGACATAATAACATTGCCTTGTGGAAGTAATTCATCAAAGCGCCATCATCAAGGCATCTTCTCATGGCTCCCCACAAACTCTGCCTTGACCGAATCATTTTCCACATCAAATGAAGTAGACTTAAATGCTGATGCATTTTCAAGGATGCACAATTAAGACTACTCCAGCTCAATATTGCAATGCTAATTGGAGACTACAAAAAATTTCCTAAGAAGTTAAGATGGTTGTGTTGGCGTGGGTTGCCCTTAAAATCGATACCCAGTGACTTTCCTCTAGAGAGTCTGGTTGCTCTTGACTTGCGCAACAACAGCTTAAAACAACTTTGGAATGGAAACAAGGTATGATATTAACTTTCTTAGTTTTTAAATTTCTTTTTTTAAAATAATTTTTCTTTCTTTTGGGGGTTAATATGAATATTTATACTTTCTTACTTGTTTCTCACAGTTGCTAAGATCATTGCAAATTCTGAATCTCAGTCATTCCCATGGCCTTATCAATACACCCGATTTCTCAAACTCCCTAATCTTGTGAGATTAATTGTTAAAGATTGCATAAATTTGAGGTTTATGAATCCATTGGAGAATTAAAGAGACTTGTTCTGTTAAGTCTAGAAGGCTGCAAGAATCTAAGGAATCTTCCCATAAAAATTGGTCAACTAAAATATCTTGAATATCTTGAGAAACTGATCCTCTCTGGTTGCTCAAAGCTTGATAAGTTGCCGAAAGAGCTCTGTAAGATGGAATCTTTGAAGGTTCTTCATGCAGATGGTGCTGCAATAAGTCAACTACCCTCTACCAGCAGTGACATAAATTTATGGCGTTCACGCTGGTTCTCTGGGGTTCGTAGACCAAGAAAATCTCCAGAATCAATCAGCTCTTCATTGATTTGCTTTCCATACTCATTAGTAAGCTTGAGTCTTGAACACTGCAATCTGTCTGATGATGCCATTCCAAGGGATCTTGGTAGCCTGTCCCTTTTGCAGGACTTGAATCTAAGGGAAAATCCGTTCTGCAACTTTCCAGAGAGCATAAAGGGTCTCACCATGCTTCACTCAATTTATACGGGTGTAGAAGCCTCCAATTGCTTCCAGAGCTACCAATGAAATTATAAGTGTTGACTTTAGCAGAGTGTAGCTCACTGGAAATAGTGGCAAATCTACCAAATGTTTTGAGATCACTGTATGTGTTGGCGTTTCAATGTGACAAACTAGTAGAGGTTCAGAACTTGTTCAGGTTAGAACCTATTTAAAACATTGATGCAGAAATGATCAAGAATTTGGGATTGGTTGACTTGGAATCCATGGGAAAGGTTGACGTGAAATTGTACAATCAATTAACGTCTATGGACAATATTAGTCCCATCCAGGTGTTTTCTCTGTGTGTGTGTGTGTGTGTGTGTGTGTGTCTGTCTGTCTCTCGCTCTCCCCTATTATAATTGAAGTTATGATGATTTGCTTACATGGATCAGGCAGTGTATGAATGCGGAATAGTGAGCATATTTCATCTTGGAAATGAGGTTCCATGTTGGTTCAGCAAAAAGAGTAGAAAGTCCTCCATATGTTTCAATGTTCCTTCACTTCCTAATCTCGAGACCCGAGGCTTGAATGTATGCGTTGTTTATGCAAGGATTACACACCGTTACCTTCCAACTGAACCTGCTATTATAAAATTTTAAGTATTATTAAAATCTTCAATAAGAGCAACGATGTGAAGTGGGCCTATAACCCAGTGTGTAAACGGAATCCAGATGAGGGGAAAAATATGAAATGGTCAAGCCATTAGATTGGGAATCAGTTGGATGTTGGTGATGAAGTGGTTGTTTCCGTGGTTTTGTGGGACTATAAAGTACGTAAAGGAGTTAGGAGTCCACATTGTGTATGAAGAAGAGGAGAAGGATGCACAACTTAATACCTGTAGTTCTTGTCCTGGTGAAGTTATTGAGCCATAGGAATTTGATAGGTCAATTCCAAATCTACTATTTAGTTTCCCAAAATAAGTTTGGATTACAAATCCAAAGACTAATCCAGATAATTGTATTTACTCGGCCGTGGACTAAACGGCACAACACTTCTATTATTGACAAAAATAAATAAATTACATATAGATATATGAGTATATAGAGTAAGAACCAAAACAAGAGCAAGAAGTGAGTATATCTTTCAACTGAGCTAACAATTAGTAAACAACATGAGTCAACTCAACAAAACAAGAACCAAGAAATAAGATCCAATAATTGCTAGTCAATTTCTCATATAGATTAAAAAATTATAATAATAATTGATTTCTGTGACAGAAGTTTGTTGCAAGTGGCAAGCAAAACTAAAAGGAAGCTTTCCTCAATTGAACCTCAGAGCGAGGAGTTTTGTGCGGAATTGTTGTCTTCGAGCAGAGAAGATGAGTTGCCTTCCTATTTCTTAAGTCATCGGTGTAGTTTCTGCGTAATTGTTATAGATACTATAATAGATTTAGGGATTTTGTAAACTGTTACTGGTTTTTTTTTGGGTAAATTATTTGGAGGTGAATGAATTGCACCTCGACACATTAAGTGTTCATGGGTACAGCACCCCCACTACTACACATAAGTAAGGTTCTCAATATTAAATAACGAAGAAGTAAATTTTAAAAGTTTATTTTTCACTTTTGATTAAATTAAACAAAATAATTATATATGCATCGAGAATCATTGTTAAGGTTCAAAATACCTTCAAAATTCTTATTTTAAAATATCAAATTATTCTTATTAAATCATATAATTTTTTCATCCAAACAATTCAAAAAATGTTAAACATATCTGGAAAATGAGCATCATCAGCTATGAATTTATGGATGCAACTACGATGGTTATGTTACGGTCACCACCATTACCAAAGGCCACCACAACTATAAATTGAACAGACTCTTTTTAGTTGTAATATAGGTGTGTGTATATGTATAAAAATAAATAAATAAATAAATAAAAAGGTGTTCTGTAATGACCTAGGTTTTTATTCAACCCGGTGCATTAGTGATGAACCGAAGATTGACCCGTTATCAGATCCGGATGCGGAAGTAAGAAACTAGACAATGGTCTTTCAAGGCACAACGCACCTCTAAGACCCTAAGATGACCTTCCATGAGGTCACATAACACAAATGAAACGAAAACGGAAGTAAAGGTCAAAATGGGCAAAATTCATTAACCAAGGGGCAAAATTGTCAATTCACAAATAAAATAAGAAACTTGACTCTAAACAAGTCGAATGAGGTACACACAATCTAATCTAGTCATTTCACAACATTCAATGAGGTTCCAAGAATATTGGACAAGAATCCCACAAAACGCTTTTTTCCGGTTTAAGCGAAAACAGATACCCTCTCACTAAAATATGAATAACTCTCACTTTGATTGGAATCTGAGAATGGCATTGGTACCATTGGAAAGCTAACTCAAAATTCATGAATTTAGACTTAAAAATCACCCCATTTGAATTAGAAATGAAGGAGATATGACTATTTGAAGTTGGAACTTTAGTACTGGAACAAAATATGGAAGACAGGTGTATGAGGGGAGTTTCGGTCGACCGAAATAAAGTTTCAGACGACCAAAACTGGCAGAAACTTTTCAAAAACCTGATTTTTAAGAGTGGGACACTTTTGGTAGACCGACATAAGCCATCAGTCAATCGAAATAAGCCATCGATCGACTGAAATGGCCCTGAACAGTGAAAAAGGCTACTGGAAATGATGATTTACTATGCATTGATGCTTCCAAAAGCCGTCGGTCGACCGAAATGGAGTGTGCTATATGCCAAAGGTGTTAAGGTTCAACCCATGCTTTGAATCCTATGATGATTTGGTTTAAAAATGAAAGTTTAAAACTGATTTTCAAGGAGATTTAAGTATGTGAACATGCCAACAACCTTAATATGAATAGTTGAATGCAAAACATTGGCTTATGGCCTCATACATGTCAATTACAAGAATCTCATATGCTAAACCTCCAAGGTTGATAAAAATACATTTCAAAACAAAATGTGGCACCAAATGAGTACTAGTGTAAATATAAACATGCTTGACCCTTGGCCTCATGTCATATATATCAAATAGGTTCTAAATAGTGTATCTAAGTACACTTTACATGTTATAAGACAAAAATAGCATATTGAACCTAGCTATGTATTACATCTTTATAAGCAAAACTTAAACATGCTAACACTTGCATGTGAGCAAGAAAACTTTAAAAGAAACTTCAAATCTTCAAATCACCCAAGGCAAGTGCAAATCTCCGAGTCTTAAATGCTGTACCTGAACAATACCCCAGTAACTTCGGGGTGAGTAAACAAGTTTACTCGTAGAGAATGAGCATACATAGACTCGATTTCTTATAGATTTTTACATCAACATGAAACAATTCAAAAGGGTCATGCCACCTAACGTCTATGTCAAAGGTGAGACTCAAGGAGCATCTTAAACTACTCATGCAATTCAAAGTGAATAACGGCATACAAGTATACATGCTTAAGTATACTAAACAATGTTAAAACAAGTCATGCATTGTCTAAGCATATTTATACAAGTATACATTTTATATGAAAATCTCGTAAATCAAGTATACAATATAAGTATTCAATATATGCAGAGTACTCATAAATCAAGTATACGAACACAAGTATACTAAGCTAAAAGAGATATGCCTAAAATAAGTATACACAGTCCAAGCATACTAAATGAAATTTAAACTCACGGAGCAAGTATAAAAGTTCAAGTATACTAAATAGGATTCAAATATCCAAAGCAAGTATCAATTCTCAAGCTACAAGTAATCCATAATTAACAACTTGAAATTTAATGCAAAAAGAAACAAATAGTGGAAAGACTAGGACATGCGATCGCTAGACCAATCAAGTATTTTTGGGTAATTTTGACCCGCAACGTACCACCTAGTGCGTATTTATGACTTAGAAGACTCTTATCTCCGTACTAGAGCCAAACCCTAGCCATCACATAAATTATGTCCTCACAAGCTTTTCAAAATCAATAAGTTCAAAACTTATACAAAATCAAATGCAAGTTACCACATTCCATGCACAAGTAAGGTTGAGCCCACACAAACCATGTCCTAGAATTCAAGTCTAAATAGTATATGACATGTCATATCTTCAATATATAATTTATACATAAAGTAAGAATATTTTATAACAATTGAGCCACATTACCATCCTAAGCCACAAGTACTGAATAGGTTTTAATTTAGTAACTAACTTCCAAGGTAAACAGTTGTAATATTCTAACAAGTTAAATACCCACACAAGATGTATTTAAACAAGTTATTTAAGACAATGATGTCACATATCATGCTAAGTCAAATCACCATCTTTAGAGACAACAAGTACTAATTCTACAACAAGTTAGTAGCATGTTCACCAGGTAATTAAACATACTCCATTTCAAGAGATTATCAACCTAACATAAAAAGTCCCTATATTTCAAATCAATTCCAAATAGACTCAAATTAATATATGTTAAAGGACATAACATGGTCTTCACATATAATATACCCAACATCAATTTAAGTGACTACAACACTTAAAATAAAATTAATTAAGCTAATTAATTAGTTTCCTCTAGATTTTTAAATAACTCCAAATGTCCTTAATTTAACATATGTTAAAGAACATACTAAGACTTAATTTAATATCACATTACAAGTCAATTTCATGCTAGTTACGATCATGTGAATTAATCTTTTACAAAAGATTAATATTAAATAAAATTTGCATTTCTTATTCAAATGATCCCAATTTAATATATGTTAACTAACATACCATGGCCTAATTTACTAGTATGCCGCAATTTAATTCTAAGGTACACACCTTCATGATAATTAAATCTTGACCATAGAAAATAATTAAATTAAATTCTAGATTATGAACAAAAGCATGTATACAAGTTGTATAAGTATCAAAAGTATGCAAGACAACAAAAATATGAAATTATAACACCCCCTACCTCCATTTGAGATGAAATCCCCACCGAAATGAAACGGCTCCGAATCTGACGAAACTTCTAGGTTTTGTCGGGGACAATACAGTGAACAAGAACCCAAGGAAGCCCCATCAAAATCACAACTTGACTTCAAACCCGAACTCAAGAAATAGCCAAAAATGAACTCTAACAAGGGGGAAAGGTAGAGCACAGCAAGGTGAACATAAAACATTAAGGCACTACACCTTTTTACCTAAGGGATGTGGCCGGAAAAGAAGAGAGAAGGGTGGTAGCCCCTTGGCTGCCATGGCTGCGGGCCAAGAGAGAGGAGAGAGAGAAAAATCTGTTTTTTCTTTCTAAGACCCCCTATTTATAGAAAAACCCTAAAAGTGCCCTGAATGGACCCCACCGGGTCCGGAAAAGTGAAATTTGAGCAGACGCTCTCAAACGGTGAAACACCATGAATGAAAAAGAACTAAAATGAGAAAATATGAACAACGGAAGAAACGGCGTAAAAAACTGAGTCCCGAGCAGAGAGATATGCCCCAAACAAGTTTAGCGGTAACCGGGGTCAGAAATCTTAAAACTAGAGAAAAACAAACAGGAGAAAATTCTAAGAGTACATGACTCAACGAAAAGTGAAAATAAATCCCGTACGAGGATTCAGGCTCAAAATAAGGCATTTAGTAATAACTTTCATTAATTGCACAATGGCCTCTCCAAAAAGTGAAAACTACACAACTGCCCAGAATGAAAATATCTTCCAAAAATAATTTCTTAAAAACCCCCTGAAATAAAATATCTTCAAAAGATATTTACAAAAAAATACCCCAAGAAAAGAAAAAGATTCTGAAGAACTATGCATCCATGCCCTTCTGGACACCGGGAGTAATTAGAGTACTTTTCTACAAAAGTAAAGATACGTATTTCGTGAAAACCATTCAAGATGAAGATACATGAAGTCAAAAACTAACTCCGAGCATGAAAAGTGAGGTTGTGCCAAAAAGTGACAAACGGGGAAAAGACAAAATATGGAAAAGGACGAAAAGTGAATAGTGTCGAAAAACGAAAAATGTGGAAATGATTCGGTCCTCAAAGGAAGTTGTCAATTTAAGGGAAAGAGTCTCAGAAACCATTTTCGAGTACTCGAGAAGACACTAAGTGACGAGAAACTAAACTCAGAAATAAAATTTCAACGAAAAAAATTCATCCGTAAAATTCTGAGGAAAAAGAAAAGGAAAGAAATGACCGAGTCATTACATGTTCGGTTCTACATGTCTAAATTAATGGGCATCAAAAGAGATCATTTCTTGGACATCTTTTAGCCAAAGAACTGGCTTTATAATTTTTTTTTATATCCATACATTTATTTAACTTTTGACAAAAAATAATAATAATGAGCATCGGAAAGAAATATAGTATCAAAACATTATATATAGTGAGGCAGAAAGATAAAAGAAATTTAATTTTCACAATTACACTCATATAAATTTCAAGAACGTTTGCAAATGCATTCCAACGTGACCTTTATTGTCAAATAAGTTATGAGTATGCAAATACACACCAAATTTATACATTATTATCAATCATTTACATAGAATGTGCCTATTCAACATTTTGACCAAACTTTTTATCAAATAGATGAATTCCACATTTTATTTTGTATATTTAAAAGTAAAAGACTTATTCTAACAAATTAAAAATCAATTTCAACAATCAAATATAAATTGTATAGTACATTGATAATGACAATTTAAATTTTTTAATAAAGCAACTGTTCATCATAATTTAAATACCAAATAATTTGGAGTTGGGTGAAATTCAACACTTTTCTAAAAAATTTAAGTGAAAAGAATTATATCATTTTAAGAAAGACATTTTAGTATTTAGAAATACGAGTTTGGAGGTCATTTTGAACCTTAACAATGATTTTTATTTTTTATTTTTTATGTATATGTAATTATTTTGCTTAATTCAATCAATTTAAAATTTTAACTTTAAAAATAGATTACTTTTTTTTTATTTAGGATCCCTAATTCTACTTATGTGTGTCTGTGTATATATATATATATATATATATATATATACATTTTGTTATTTAAATATGAACCGGTGAGAAAATAAAATAATTTAATTACTGTGTATCACATATTCCCACGGAGGATGAAAAGAAAAGAAGAAAAAGGTGGGCCAAAAAAAAAAAAAAATCAGCGCACAAACTTTTACTTCCACTTTTGTTTTCGTCATTACAAACATTACAAGGAAGCTACTGGGTGGGTCCCATTAGCATTCATAAATTTGGTGTGTTCGAAGAAGTTTCGTTGCGAGGGGCAAGCAAACTGGAAGGACTTTAGTGAGGCACTGTGGACGTGGAATTGCTAGCTGTCTTTCAGCAGAAAAGATAGTTGACTTCCTATTTCCTAAGTCGTCGGTTTATTCCTGCGTAATTGTGATAGATTAACAGGTTTAGATAAGAATAATACTTGGAGTAGTCCATTTGACTACTCACTGTAGAGTAGTCCATTCTTATTGACAGTTGATGCGGTTCAACAAAAAATGTATACATAGACTGATTTCATCTTTCTCATTTAATCCTTATTTGCAATACAAATGGCAACCGAGCCAAAGTGTGAGCAGAGGATTCGCCTTTTCACATGATTTGTACTTGCAGTGCCAGGTGCTTTTTTTAAAGTGGGAGCAGAAATTCTTTCTAACTAAATTCAATAAGTATTCAAAAGGATGGCGTGATAACTACACATATATATAATTTGTGATTACAAAATCAAGAAAGTAATAAAATCAAGAAAGTGATAAATAAAGAAATTAGATGCAAATTTATTCTTAATATATATATATATATATTATCCTTATTTATTATTATTTTGTAATCATGTGTGCATTTTTTATTGGACCTATTAAGTGTTCATGGGTGCAGTGTGGCACTAAATTTTATTTATTTATTTAAATGTGAATTGATTTGTGGGCTATGAAAAACAAAATAATTTAGGAAATTTCCCAGAGGAAGATGATAAGAAAAGAGGACAAAGGTGAAGAACATACAAAATAATAAAAATAAACTTCGATATTTGTGTTGATTTGTTTTTGAAGTGTGAAGACTCGTTACAAGGAAGCTTACTATGTGGATCCCATTCCCATACATGATGTTTTTTCCTCTTTTCTTCGTGTGAAATTAAGCTCGCCATGCTCTGCCCCTCTCACACTCGTCTCGATTTGGCTTCTCTCCTCTTTTCTTCAGTCACCATAACATTTTCACTCTATATTACAAAAGTACATAGGGTCAAGAAACTGTCCCACCAGAAATTGCAAGGAAGCTTCGTTCAGGAGGAGTTGGATTATTCTTCTTTACTTTTGCACCACATCTTTATGGTGTGTCTGAAAGGACTGACTTTTGTGAGGCAATGTGGACGCTGCTGTCTTCTATCATAGAATTTTTCGAAGTTCATCAAGGCACCACATCTTTATAGTTCTCGCGTAATTATTATAGGTACGTAAGGTTCTCATAAAAATAATACTTGATTACTTACTGTTGAATAATCTATTTTTACTTATTGTTAACGTAGTTCAACAAAAAATGTACACATAGACTTCATCTTTCCCGCTCAGTCCTTATCTACAATTTGAGTGGCTACAGAGCCAAAGTGTGAGCGGGAGATCCGCCCTTCTCACATGATCCTTATTTGCCAGTGCTTTTTTCGGAGTGGGAGCAGAGATCCCTTCTAACTGAATCAAAAAGGTATTCAAAAGGATGACGACGTATGTGATATTACACGTATATATAATTTGTGATTAAAAAATCAAGAAAGTAATAACATCAAGAAATTAGATACAAATTTATTCTATATATATATATATATATCCTTATTTATTATTTTTTATTATTATTATCTTGTAATCATGAGTACATTTTTTATTGGACCTATTAAAAGTTCATGAGTGCGGCGTCCCACCAAATTTTATTTATTTATTTAAATATGAATTGATTTGTGGGCTATGAAAAACAAAATACTTGAGTGGACCTACGAATCTAATTTACTGGTATATATCACTTTCAAACGGAACATGGTAAGAAAAGAAGAAAAAGGTTGGGGCAAAAAAATATTAAAATAAAAACATTACAAGGAAGCTTACTATGTGGATCCCATTACCATTCATGATTTTTTTCTTCATTTATATCGGCTCACCATGCTCTGCCCCTCTCACACTTGTCTTGATTTGGCTTCTCTCTCTTTTCTTCATTTATAACACTGTCTGTCTGTCAAGTGATTAGTCGATCAGGTGAGGAATCTTAATTTCTTCCGGAATTACAGGTAAAAAGTTTTACCTTTTCAACACAATTGCTCAGTATTACAAGTTAATTACATGTATATCATATTTATTACTGTATTATTTATTTATTTGTATGTATTGTCTTTTTTCTATTTCAATTTGTTGTGTAAGAGAAGCCACAAAGTTAATATATGTAATAGTAAATCTTGAATCAACCAATTGTCCAATGTATCTGGGAGAACAATCATATATTATAGGTTTTGAACAATCATATATTCTTTTACCTATCTATTTTATCTTCGCTTATATGCTTTGAAAGATCTAAGGTCAAGAAAAACCAGTAATACATATACAAACATATCCACATAGGATTGATTGTTTAATTGGTGGGATTTATTTAGGGGGTATTTGTCACACTAGGGGTCACACTAGGGGTTATCTACAACATTGTTAAGAGTTTTTTTTTTTTTTTTTTTTATTTTTATTTTTATTTATTATTATTATTATTATTATTATAGAAAAAAAAAATCAGTTTGGCCTATTGTTTATTCCTTTATTTATTTATTGAATTCTTAGAAAAATACTTATTATGATTGTACATATTGCATCTTGTTCATTCATCTCCTTGATTTTGATCAATAGCGGCTATGGGATCCCAAGAACCCTCCTCAATTCGGTATTCTTATCATATTTTCTTGAGTTTCAGAGGTAAAAACACCCGAAAGACCTTTACCGATCACCTTTATACAGCTCTTCTACATGTAGGATTACGCACATTTAGGGATGATGATGGACTTGCGAGAGGCGATGATATCTCCAAAGAATTGATAAAGGCAATTGAAGAGTTGAGGATTTCAATAATTGTCTTCTCAAAAGACTATGCATCTTCAACATGGTGCCTTGATGAACTTCTAAAAATTCTTGAACGCAAGAAGAGTGTTGGTCATATGATTGTGCCCGTGTTCTACCATGTGGATCCATCCCATGTTAGAAAGCAAAATGAAAGTTTTGCAAAAGCATTTGTAAAACATGAAGAAAACTTTATGTCCGAGTCCGACGAAAGAAAAGAGCAGGGAATGAACAAGATAAAGAAGTGGAAGGAAGCTTTGACAGAAGTTGCAAATTTGGCCGGGCATGTTTTAGGAGATGGGTAAGCTTGTCTATTTCATTTACTTTGACATCATTTGATTCAAGTGTTCATAAAATTGAATATAAATTACTACTCAATTCATTAGCTGCATGTCTTTATATACTTACATTATTATCCATCCCTCTGATCTTATTTATAAGTGTTGACAGATATTTTACAAAAACACCTTACACTAAAAAATTTGATTCAGTCATTTTAGAAGTTTTAATGTTGGAAAATTGATTATAGAAAATCCTTCTTATATGATCAGAAACTTTTCTACATTGCCTGGAAGATCAGAAATTGCTAAGAATACAAGGGGAATTGCACATCATATGTTAACAATACGGTATAAAGCAATGAGGACTTCAAGGCTACATATCTATATAATTTCCTAAACTTAATTTGTGTGCAATTTCTTATGCATTTTTATATTGATTCATTTAAAAAAAAAATTGATTAGGAGTGATTCTCTTTTTTAACAAACTTGCTTAGCTATTTAAAAGGCCCGAGATCCAAAACCCAAAATGACCCAATAAATTAATAGGCTGGAATTTAGTTGTTGATATTGGTCTGGATTGGGTTAAAGCCCAATTGATCTTGTTCTAGACGCAGCCGAATTTAGCTCTGTAATTAATAATCTACAAATATATTTTTCTAGGTAATCATAAATAATTAAACACAATTGTCTGTTTATATATTTATGTGTCCTGAATTATTCTCAATAAAGGACTATTATTGGTCCGAATTAACTTAGTCCGGATGTTATTGGTTCGAATTAACTCAATTTGAGATAGGTTGTAATCTACAAATATATGAGTTCGACTACAAGCCTGGAGTTAAAGCCCAATAACCTGATTTTACTTCTACCTATGGCCTGGGCCTCTGTGTCATAAATTTTAATGGATTGAAGTTAAAGCCCAATAAATGATACTTGGTAATAGTATTATATATAGTTCAATATATTACTGTATACGTATGGTCCACAGAGTAGTTTAAACCCAATAAGCTTGGTCCTGAGCCACAAAATCTTAATAGCTTTAGATACTATTAATCAATTAATTGGTTAACTCTCTTCGATCAATAGTCAGTGCTCATTAGAGTTATGGCGTGGTTAAAAGAATAAGATCAATATCTAATTAACTTTTGAAAGAGACTAATGCAACATGTATACAAAATGGTAAGACTCACATTTTTATTTATTTATTTGTAAAAATTTCCCTTTAAAATATGAATTTAAAGTCTTCCATAAATTAAATTCTAAATGTTTGACATGAAAGCAAGTAGACAAATAAAGTCAATAATTAGTAACTAGAAATAAGAAGATTAAACTTTTAGAATGGAAATGCCATTGAGAATTGTGAACAATAAGAGACCCTTATCTTGAAATTGCTTTCTCAAGCTAGATTTGAAATTTTATAGATATTCTTGGATTTTGCTACCAATATATTTTTTTCCTTTCGGTTAAATATCTTTAACAATCATTGATTATGTAATTCTATTAATTCAAGATTTTACAATAGTTAACATGCTGCTTGAATATATTGAGTGGTAATGGCTAAACAAAACAACATGAAATATATTGTGTGTGTGTGTATTTCATTTTCATTTAACTCTTGATTCATTTCAAATACAACATCATTTGTTTTCCTTTTTTTGGTTCCCCTTCCTATTCCCATTGCTATATATAGGTATGAGTCAATTTTTATCCAATAAATCATTATTATCTCTTGTTTGCATTTTCATTAATTCCTTAATCCGTTTCAGCTGAAAAGAAGTTGGCAATTTGTAGGTATGAATCAAATTTTATTCAAGAAATTGTTAAAGATATAGGAAACAAATTGAATCGTAGAGTATTGAGTGTTTGTTCATACCCAGTTGGATTAGATACTCATATAAAAGACATTAATTTGTGGTTGCAATATGGATCAAACGAAGTCGGGATAGTGGCAATCTCTGGGATGCATGGAATAGGGAAGACAACCATTGCAAAAACTGTGTATAACCTGAACTTTGACATATTTGAAGGTAGTAGTTTTCTTGCAAATGTAAGAGAAACATCAAAAGAACCCCGTGGTCTTGTCCGCTTACAAAGACAACTTTTTTCAGATATTTTAAAAGGGAAAGAAGCAAAAATTAGCAATGTTGATGAAGGAATGATAAAGATAAGAGGAGCTATTTGCTGCAAAATTTTTTTACTTGTTCTTGATGATGTGGAAGACCGAGACCAATTAATGCAGTACTCACAATGAGGGATTGGTATCAGCCAGGAAGTAAAATTATCATAACAACTACAAATGAACAATCGTTGAAGGCATATGGAATGCACAAGCGGCATAGAGTTGAAGGTTTAACTCATGATGAATCATTTCAACTCTTTAGCTGGCATGCCTTTGGACAAGACCACCCCATTGAAGGATATATGGAGCACACAAAAAGGGTTGTACAGTACTGCAGTGGGCATCCTTTAGCTCTTCAAATTTTGGGTTTTTCTCTATCTGGGAGTAGCATTGATGTGTGGAAAAGTGCAATAGAGAAAATGGAAGCAATTCCTAACAGTAAGATCCTAAAAAAGCTCAGATTAAGCTTTGATTCTTTACTAGATGAGCATGACAAAAATTTATTCCTCGACATTTCTTGTTTCTTTGTTAGAAAGGACATAGATTTCATAATTCCAATACTAGATGAATGTGGTTTTTACACGAAAGTTGGGATTTAGAATCTTATCAACAGATGTCTCTTAACAATCGATGTAAATAACAAGTTGACAATGCATCACTTGATTCGAGAGATGGGAAGGGAGATTATACTTCAAGAATCACCCAAGGAGCCTGGGAAGCGCAGCAGAGTGTGGCATATTAAGAGAAAAAACTATAAGAAACATGCCTCTCATGTCTTTATTTTCATTTTTTTTTATTCTTTGTTTTTGCTAGCTGCTACTTATCAACCTCTGTTATCAGGGCACAGAAACAATTGAAGGCCTTATTCTAAATTTGCATGTGTCTGAGCAAGATTGGCTTGCTAAGAATTTCTTTGATTTAGATAATTCAAAAAGACATCATTCTGAAGATTTTTTTAACAAATTAACATTGCCTTGTGGAAGCAATTCATCAAAGTGCCATCGTCTAGGACTCTTCTCATGGCTCCCCACCAACTCTGCCTCGACAGAATCATTTTCCACATCAGATGAAGTAGACTTAAAAACTGAAGCATTTTCAAGGATGCACAAATTAAGACTACTCCAGCTCAATAATGTAATGCTAACCGGAGACTACAAAGAATTTCCTAAAAAGTTAAGATGGTTGTGTTGGCGTGGGTTCCCCTTAAAATCAATATCTAGTGAGTTTCCTCTGGAGAGCCTGGTTGCTCTTGACCTGCAGAACAACACCTTAAAACAACTTTTGAATGGAAACAAGGTATGATACTACTAACTTTCTTGGTTTTTTTATTTTTCCTTTAATAAATTTTTTAAAAATAATTTTTCTTTTCTTTGGGGGTATGTATGAATATTTATACTTTCTTACTTGTTTCTCACGGGTGCTCAGATTATTGCAATTCCTCAATCTCAGTCATTCCCATGGCCTTACCAATACACCCAATTTCTCAAAATTCCCTAATCTTGTGAGATCGATTCTTAAAGATTGCATAAATTTGATCGAGGTTCACGAATCCATTGGGGAATTAAAGAGACTTGTTCTGTTAAATCTGAAAGGCTGCAAGAATATTAGGAATCTTCCTACAAAAATAGCTCAGCTTAAATCTCTTGAGAAACTCATCCTCTCTGGTTGCTCAAATCTTGACAAGTTGCCGAGAGAGCTGTGCGAGATGGAATCTTTAAAGGTTCTTGACGCAAAGGGTGTTGCAATAAAACAACTACAATCGAGCAGCAGTGACATGGAATCATGGCGTTCAGGCTTGTTCTCTTGGGTTCCGTGGCCAAGAAAATCTCCAGAATCGATCAGTTGTTCACTGGTTTGCTTGCCACGCTCATTAGTAAGCTTGAATCTTGCAAACTGCAATTTGTCAGATGATGCCATTCCGAGGGATCTTGGGAGCCTGTCCCTGTTGCAGAGCTTGAATCTAGGGGGAAATCCAATCAGTAGCCTTCCAGAGAGCATCAAGGGACTCGCCATGCTCTGCTCACTTGAATTAGAAGGGTGTGAAAGACTCTAATTGCTTCCAGAGCTACCAATGAGCTTAAAATTCTTGCAGTTAAGCCATTGTACGTCACTGGAAATAATGATCAATCTACCAAAACTAAAGAGACGACCGGACGTGGAAGCGTTGGGTTGTGACAAACTATGCAGAAATGATCAAGAATTTGGGATTGGTTGAGTTGGAATCCATAGGAAAGGTTGACATGAAATTTTACAATTACCTGACAGATACGCACAATATTGGTCCCATCCAGGTGCTCTCTCTCTCTCTCTCTCACTCTATATATATATATATGTCTCTTGCTCTCTCCTATTGTAATTGAAGTTATGATGATTTCCATGGATCAGGCAGTGTATGAATGTGGAATAGTGAGCATATTTCATCCTGGAAATGAGGTTCCATGTTGGTTCAGCAAAAAGAGTAGAAAGTCCTCCATATGTTTCAATGTTCCTTCACTTCCTAATCTCAAGATCCGAGGCTTGAATGTATGCGTTGTTTATGCAAGGATTACACACCGTTACCTTCCAACTGAACCTACTATTATAAAATTTTAAGTATTATTAAAATCTTCAATAAGAGCAACGATGTGAAGTGGGCCTATAACCCGGTGTGTAAACGGAATCCAGATGAGGCGAAAAATATGAAATGGTCAAGCCTTTAGATTGGGAATCAGTTGGATGTTGGTGATGAAGTGGTTGTTTCCGTGGTTTTGTGGGACTATAAAGTACGTAAAGGAGTTAGGAGTCCACATTGTGTATGAAGAAGAGGAGAAGGATGCACAACTTAATACCTGTAGTTCTTGTCCTGGTGAAGTTATTGATGGTGTAGATTTATCAGCGTATCGGGTTTGTAGAGGTGGATACTACCTCTGCCATTGTGATCTTCGAACCCGTCGAAAGTCAACGACTAATGATGGTTCGAATAACATGGATTTGTTTGCCTTGCTAATTGGAGAGACGGTATGAAAACACCTCTCGAATATTTAGAGTTGTATATATATGATAAAGATGGGTTACTGGTGAGCTCAATAGTGATTGTGCAGGTCTCTCTTTCTTGAGTGTGAATCGGATCACTTGTTTAATATATTTTGTATTTATGCAATTCAAATTATATTTTGTATTGATACGATTGCACACCCATCTTTACTTTTGGGAAGGGTAAATATTTTTGCGATTGTATTCATTATGATCACATTTTTCTTTCATATTTTTGTATTGTCTTGTTTATTGCGAAACAACTAAATACACTATAACTCGTTTTTATCAAAGATTAATGACATAATGATTAATTTGTTAATAAATTTTTTGCTTTGTACAACTACCTTCATCTATAAAAATTGTTCTCATATTTATATATTACCAACACATTATCTAAAGTTGTAGAGAAACTAGAACAGGAGATAGTGTGAAGTTTTAGTGATTTTCACTCCGCACCAATAGGCCATGATGGATCAAAATTCTCCTGTGAAACAGTAGTTCTATGTTGTGATGTTTCAACATTTTTGTTAGGTACTATCACTAATTAGAGTAATCACTAAGAGTCAGGACGCCCTTTTTAGTACCTGATAGATGGACTATGATGGAACGAATTACGATTTAACAAAAGTTGAAGTGTATTTTCAAATTATTACTTTAATAAAAGTAGATGGTAGTCAATACGGGTAGATGGTAGTCAATACGGTGTAAAAGTCGAAAGTCCCGATTTCGAACTCCTCTACACACGTTATATGAGAAGAATGACACAAATTAGAGGGTGTGCGAGACGATTTAATTGTTAAAATTATATAAGTTCTTAAATGATCACCTTCCTCATATTTCATGCTCTGTTTCACTTTATATCACTCTTTCGTCTTTTGTTTTTCTTTTTTCTCTACAATTAATTTGCCCTGTTGATTTCTACATTATATATCTTTCTATTTTCACATTAATCGCTTCTCTCTCTTTTTCGGATTTATATTTTGTGGTTATTCAGAATGTATCTGTATTTAAATTGCTTTTTGATTGAATCACTATATATATATATATAATTCTTTTTTTTTTTTTTTTTGAAGCCAAGAAAATTTAAGAATAATATAATTTAATTCACAATCTCCCACAGCTCATTGATTCTCTTACTCTAAACATTTCACCATCCTCCAAATTACCAAGATGAGGATAGGATCAGACCCCATGGTCAAAGTATGCATTTGGTACATTTGTAGCTGTCTATGTTAGATATAGGCCAATTTTATTGATCAAATTGTATGTCAATCTATTTCCAGCACAATATTTCCCAAACAAGCGTAATAAATAAACTTGTCCCAGGGATTTTTTGAAAGTGAAAATTTTGTATCTCCGATCATTTGATTTTTATCCCAATTCTTTTGTACAGAATAATTTTTTTTATACATTGACAAGAAATTTGTACACCCATTTGTTTCTATGGGAACTTGAAATCTCAACTCTCACTTTAAAAGATATAGAAGATACCACTAAGTTACGACCTTTGGTCGTACAAGAGCGATGCAGGAGGCCGAACCATCTAATTATGAAATCAATTGGATGGCCGCTGTCAACCAAAAGTTTCTTCCACATTCATGAAAAATATCTCTAGGGATGGGATTGATGGCTGATACACGCTTCATACATGTATGAGCTAGGAAGCACGGACACTCCAAAATAAGCAAAGAATCCGTGTCCGACACGCGTCAGACACGCCCCGACACGTGTCGGATACGCTAAAAAACGAGTATGGAATTTTTTATTTTTTTAAAATTTTCGGACACAGCTTGGACACGGTACGGACACTCCGTGAACACGTGTCCGACACGCCAATAGATATATGAAATTATTTAATAATTTTTACTTGTGTGGTCAGAACATAATAATTTTAAACTTTCAAGGTTAATATGCAATTTTAAACAAAAGAAATAGATATTTAAGACTAGTCATTACACTATTACAAGAAGAGATTCAAAGGACGTCTGAGTTGCTCTCTCAAAGTGACGAAGCTCTGCAACTTCTTGCTACTGATCAAAGCGACTCCCTCTAGCCTCTAGTTTAGTCTCTCTCTCTCTCTCTCCTCCTTCCTCTTTTCTTTCTTTTTCTTCACAAACTCTAGTTTCTTTCTTTCTTCTTCATCTTTTTTTTTTTTTTTTTCGTTTTCCTTTTTCACAAACCTAGATTCTTTCTTTCTTCTTCATCTTCCTTCTTTTTTTTTTTTATTTATCAAAACCCCATATTCTTTCTATTCCTTTTCTCTCTCTCCTTTTTTTTCCCCCTTCTTTTCACTAACCCCCGTTTCTTTCTTCTTCTTTGTTTTAATTTTTTTCTTTTTTCACAAACCCCAGATTCTTTCTTCTTCTTCTTCTTTTTTTTTTTTTTAACCTGTAAATGAATCAGATTTCATCTTTGATTTAATTTCAGCTGTTGCATATGACTTGTGAATCTGTGATCAAATAGGAATTTATTCAGTCTTTGCTGACTATTCTTTCTTTGCTGACTGCTATAAGTATGGATTTTTTTTTCTTTTCTTTTTATGTCTAGGGAATTAGACATGTCATTGTCTACATCAGTTGTTAGTAGTACTCCTCAATTCAAAGAAGATGAGAACAAACCACTTTGGAACTATGTCATACAATTAGAAAAAATTGGTGGTGGAGGAGGAATTTTTTTTATTCAAATGCCACTTTTGTAATAACGAATTCAGGGGGTCTTATACAAGAGTTAAAGCTCACTTGTTGTAGAACACTGGTATGGGTATTCATATATGCCCAAAAGTCACATCTCAGAATATTGCAAAAATGCAAAAAGCAATTGAAGAAGCCAAATTGAGAATTAAAAATTCTAAACCAAAAAAAGTTCCTTTGCTGCCATTTAGTGGATCATTGGGTGGTACTACTAGTCTCACTCAAGAGGCTTATGTACCAAAGAAAAGAAAGGCAAGTGGGGGTGCCATTGAGAAGACATTTAATAATGAGGCTCGGGGACAATTGCACTAAGAGATTGCTAGGATGTTTTATTCGGCAGGATTGCCGTTTCATCTAGCAAGAAACCCGTATTATGTGAGTTCATACAACTATGCTGCAAATAATCCTCTGTCAGGTTATTTGCCTTCGGGTTATAATCTATTGAGAACCACTCTACTTCAAAAAGAAAAGGCAAATATTGATAGATTATTGCAACCAATTAGGAGTACATGGAAGGCAAAGGGTGTCAGCATTGCAAGTAATGGTTGGAGTGATCCACAAAGAAGGCCTTTAATTAATTTTATGGCTGTGACAGAAGGAGGACCCATGTTTTTGAAAGCTGTTGATTGTTCCGGTGGAATTAAAGACAAGTTTTTCATTATCCAATTTGTTGAAGGAAGTTATAAATGAGGTTGACCCCCAAAATATGATCCAAGTAATTACAGACAATGCCCCAAATTGCAAGGCTGCTGGACAACTAATTGAAGGGCAATTCCCTCATATTGTTTGGACACCTTGTGTGGTCCATACTTTTAATCTTGCCCTCAAAAATATTTGTGCTGCAAAAAACGTGGAAAAGAATGAAACTGCATATGTAGGGTGTGGTTGGATTCTTGATTATGCTGATGAGGTTATAATAATAAAGAATTTCATCATGAACCATTTAATGAGATTAGCTATTTTCAATGAGTTTGTCAGCTTGAAGTTGCTTTCGGTTGCGGAGACATGCTTTGCTTCTGTTATTGTGATGATGAAAAGATTTAAACTTATAAAGGGTGGTCTCTAAGCAATAGTCATAAGTGACAAGTGGACTTACTATAGGGAGGATGATGTAGGAAAGGCCGATTATGTGAGAGAAAAGCTGTTGGATGAACAATGGTGGGGAAAGATTGATTATATCCTTTTCTTTAGTTCACCTATTTATGACATGCTAAGGGCTTGTGATATAGATAAGCCTTGTCTTCACTTAGTTTATAATATATGGGATACAATGATTGAAAAAGTGAAGATGGCAATATATAGGTATGAAAGAAAGCGACAAAGTGAAAGTTCTTCCTTTTATGAAGTGGTGCATGGGATACTTGTAGCTCGTTGGAACAAGAACAATACTCCGCTTCATTGCTTGGCACATTTACTAAATCCAAGGTAAATCATTAGATATTAATTTGTAAGCTAAAAATGTTTTAATCTTAGTTTAGAATTAAGGAAATTAAATTATGAATTAAATGCATTCTCTTATTTATTGTAGGTACTATAGTGATGTGTGGCTTAGTGAAGACCAAAGTCGAGTTCCACCACACAAGGATTTAGAGGTCTCACGAGAGAGAACAAGGTGCCTTAAAAAATACTCTAGTGACCCACAAGAGCATTCAAAAGTCCAATTGGAGTATGCTAATTTTTCATCAAACTCGGGGGAATTGGGGAGAGTGATTCTATATGTGATAGATATACCATGGATCCTGAAAGTTGATGGGTTGTACATGGTTCATATGCTCCCTTGCTTCAAGAGTTAGCTTTGAAGTTGCTTGTCCAGCCTTCTTCCTCCTCATGTTGTGAGAGGAACTGGAGTACTTATTATTTTATTCACTCATTGAGAAAGAACTAGATGGCACCATAACGGGCTGAAGATTTGGTTTTCATTCATAGTAATCTCCATCTTCTGTCAAGGAGAACCCCATAGTACAATGAAGGACGAACTAAGATGTGGGATATTGCAGGAGATGCATTTGATTCATTTGGTGATGTTAGGGTGCTTGAGGTTGCAAACTTCTCACTTAACGAGCCGGAATTAGAGGCAGTATTATTTACTGATGATGGAAGTGTTAATGATGATGAGATTCATGATGAGCGCTGAAAAGTGCGTATTTAAACCCCTTAAGCTTAGGTATTCTAGAACCTTTATCTATCTTATTTTACCATTTTGTATTGATTTCGTGTTATTTTCATTTTCAGGTACTTATCCGCAAAATAAGCTAACTCAGCCAAATAAGAGCATAATTGAAGTAATTCTGGGATGAAATAAAGAAAGGAGCAAAGTAGAGCAAAAGGAAGCAAAGGGTGGAATTTTAGCAACTTCGATCGATCTCAAGAAAAGTTCGATCGATCCAACTTTCATCGATCTCAGCACTTCAAGATGGATTTGAGCCATGTTTGTTCCTATTCAAAAATCCCAAAGTTCGATCGATCCAACCTAATTCTATGATCGATTGAAACATGTTGCCCTTATCCAAATG